TTTTATGTCCCTGGAGCATAGTACAGGTGAGGGAGTGGTAGGAGAGAAGACTGGAAAAACAGAATGGAATCAAATCATCAAGGTCTTTGGCTAGGCTGTTCTTGTTTCAAGTTATTGAGGTAAAACATACATACAATAAAGTACATTAAACATAAGACAACATTCCAACAAATTTTTCATATGTATAATCAACTCATATAATCATCATGGAGATCAAGATCTAGAACATTTCCAGCATTCCAGAAATTTTCTTCATGCTTTTTCCCAGAATATCCATACCCAGAGGGAACTACTATTCTGGCCTCTATCAATATTAATTAATTCTGCTTGCTCTTAAACTTCATAGAAGTGGAATTATACAAATGTACCCTTTTATATTTGGCTTCTTTTACTCACGTAATGTCTGTAACATGCCTCTGTGTTGTTGCATATATCAGAGTTTGTTCATTTTCTTTTTCTCGAGTATTCCATTGAATAAATATCTCACAATTTGTTCATTTTCTCATTGATGTGCATCTGGGTCATTTCCAGTTCTGTGATGGCATAAATACAGTTATTATAAACCTTCCTATGTCTGTCTTTTGGTGAATGGATGCACTCTTTTCTTTTGGGCATCGACCTAGAAGTGGGCAGGCACATTCTTCTCCATAGTTACTGCCCAACTCTCTCGAGTAGCTATACTAAGGGAGTTTTTACTTTGGCCTGAGGAAGTCAGGAAGTTATATTATGAAATTTACATCTGCCAGGCACAGTGGCACATGCCTATAATCCCAGCCACTCTGGAGGCTGAGGCAGAAGGATTTCAAGTTTAAAGCCAGCCTCAGCAACTTAGTGAGACCCTGTCTCTAAATAAAAAATAAAAATGGCTGGGGATGTGGCTCAGAGATTAAGCACCTCTGGGTTCAATCCTCAGTACAAAAAAAAAAAAAAAAGAAAGAAAGAAAGAAAAATAAATTTACATCTTACTCTCTCAGCCCCTGAATTAGATGTACTGAAAAGAGATGAGATTCTAGGGAGGGACACCTGTAGGGAATCACAAAGGAGGAACAACAGACCAGGTGAGGGATGATGAGGCCAAGTTTGGGCAATGGGCATAGAGGAAGAGGATGGTTTAGAGAGATGGTAAGAAGATAGAAATTATGATTGGAAGTGGTGGGAAGAGAAAGAATGAAGTCCAGGATGACTGCCAGGCCTCTGACTTGGTTGCAGCAGAATGTTGGCGCTCTTCCCTGAAAGAGAGGGCACCAAGAAAGAACTGGATTGAGGAAGAAGATGAGCTCTGTTTAGAACATGTTCAATCAGAGGGACCTATAGGAAATCAAGGTAGTGTCCAGTAGGCAGTAGAGGACACTGTAGACTGGTGATTTATATTATGGAATCAAGGGAATGACTGAATCATCTAGAACTTTTGGAAAGAGGATCCCAAGGTGATGATGAAGGCATTTCCTGAGAGGTGGGAGGAAAACCAGGAGTTTTCCTGCTTCGATGAAAACCTAGAGAGGGAGTGTTTCCACAAGGAGGAAGTAGTCAACCTCTCAGAGGCTGCTCAAGATGTCAGGAAAGACAGGCACTGAAAGGTACCCAGTGATACTGGGCTGGCTAGGCTTCCTGCCCCCTCAGGCCTGGTTCATGGCCTCTCAGCCTGCTGCAAGGGGACAGAGAATCAGCCTCAGTCCAGGGAAAGTGTTGTGGCCTTTCTGAGAAGTTCTGTGGGGACCTCAGCTGGACAATAGAGGGCAGACAGCAGCTACCACAGGGACTAACCAAGTCCCTCCTGACATTGAAAGTAGTGACATTTCCCCTATGGAAATTCCCTGTTGTAAACCATATTGACTTTAATCTCAAGTGTCAGAAGGTTGCCCAGGAGTCTGAGAGCCAACCAACTGAAAGTACATTTGTATGAAGACAGGATAAACAAAATAGGGTTCAGAACATTTTTTGAGATTCACACCAATGCTGAACTTTTCCAGGAAATATGACAAAAACTTCCCTCTTAGGCAGAGAAGCACTGGGGTTTATCATTATTAATTTGTATTCCAACTGATACTTAAACTTGGGGAAACAGAGAGGGAAAGAATAGCACATGTCCTTTTTCTTTGCCAGGCCCAAGGGGATTGGAGGAGGCTCCCTAGAGTTTAATAGGCAGCTTTATGTATTTATATGCTTTGACTGGAGCTAAAGAGCTCTGTGTCACACAATGGGCAGTTTCTAGTTGGATTTTAAAAGAAATAACTTTGATCATTTCAAAAGCAATGAAGCCTGATGCAGTGGAGAGAAAAGAAGGCGGTAATTTATGGCTACCATTAAGAACACAAAGACAAAGGCAGAGAGAACTGTTTCACTAAGTGAAGATTTACAAATGTGTAAAAACCACCCTATGACTAGAAATAGCTGAATGTCTCTCTCAGCACCAAACACAAAAGGGGAGGGAGGGAGGAGCAGAAGACAGAAAAAGGGATGCAACCTGCCTGCCTTTGCTGCGAATGAAAAGGTCAATCTGAAAACAACTATAGAAAACTTATTTTCTCAAATTCTCCATCAAGCAGCAGCACTAGTAACACCTGCAAAGAGGCAGGCTCAGCAGGGGCCCTGGGCAGGGTGGCTAGTAGCAGATAGAGGTGCTAAGGGTGCAGAGGGTGGGAGTTCAGAGTAGCAGATGTGCCCCCCCCAAAAAAAAAATTTGTGTTTGTGTGCATGACCCAAGTGGGGTTTTCTGTGACATTTGTTTTGTTCACCAAAGAAATTATCATGTGTGTTTTCATAGGAGAGAGTGGAATAAATGCTGGGCAGAGAAACTCAATGGAGAACACTCATATACCTAAGTATGGCATTTCTTGCATCTAGGGCTTGTTTGTTCTTGAAGTGATGCTTAGTGTACAGCTCCAACCATCTCATCTGTGCCTAGGGTGATGTAGGAAGACCTGGTGCCTGTGTTCCCTTGTAAGGACTGTTAAGCTTGGAGAACGAATGGCAGGCTGGCCAGACCTGATGTTTATGAATTTAGATGGTCATCAATGCCACGTGCATTCCAGGAAAAGTTGGAGCCGTTTTTTTGTTGCTGGCCCACTCTTGATCTCTAGACACGTTTCCCTTCAAGAAAATAACATTTAACTGGTTTACAGTGAAAAGAACATTTTTTTGCAGTGATTCTAAGTCCAGAAGTGTGTTTCTTTCTGTGACATCGTGACCCACAGTGGGACAAGTGGGCCGGTGTCTTCAAAGGGTTGTGGGATGGGAAATCAGAGGGTGTGGGTTGAGCAGTATGGAGAATGCTGCGGGTATGTGCAGGCGTCAACAGAGAAGCTGCCACTCTCTCCATCTGCATTGCTGTTTTCTTGAGTGCTACTCACAGGGTCAAGAGTATGTGTAGCCCCAAGACGGCTTTGGAGTTTGGGAACCATACTGGACACTTTCGGGGTGCCCTGTAACCGAACTTTTCAGGCTAGTAAGACTATTCGTCCTCACAAGAGGTAGTGGGTCAAGTTGTAGGACACTGGAACCGGTGGAGCACCGACAAGGTTCTTGGAGCGCTGGAGCCAAGCCGGTGAGGTAGCAGCGGTTGGTGCCGGGGGCTGCGCGGGACGCGGGCACCGCCAGGCCCGCCCCGGC